GCAAGGCCGCTCCGGCTCCCAGCGCCCGCCCCGAAGTCCCCGCCGGCCGCGCCCCGAGCCTCCAGGAGCCCCCGCCGGCGCCTCGCCCTCACCATATCGTCGGCGGGGGCTCGGCGGCCACTTCCGCCGCACTCTCAGCTGCTCAAGTTGCCGCCGGTCGCCGCCCCGCCGCGCGCCACTAGGCCGAAAAGGAGTGGCAGACAGGCTAGCGAATCAGCACTCGGGTTGAGGCACAGACAGCCAATCTTCATGGAGTAGGGCGGGGCCTACTGGCCATGTTGGGCGGGCAGCGGTCCCTCCTGTGGAGCAAGAGAAGAGCCGTAAAGCTCCCCACGAGTGACGTAAAAGGGTGCGTTGCGACGCGCGTCCGCACGGAGTGCGTTGTGGGTAATAGCGCAGGCGCAGTGAAGCCTCGCGAGTCTGCCGGCTCTGTGGAGGAAGCCGCTTAGTGCTCCCGTGTGCGGCCGAGTGGTTATGGGACTGTGCTAGTGTTGCTGCAGGGCCTCTGTTGTCGAGCAAAACCAATGTGGGAAGCGGGGTTAGTGACGCTCCACCCGATGACCAGCGTGGCGGCCAGGGCCGGACGCCGTGGCGAGCACGCCATCTCCGGCGCTGGAATGGGGCGCAATTTAGAGTCTATGGGCTGTTTCTGGAATTGCCCATTTAATATTTTTGCACTGCAGTTGACAAAGGGTAACTGCGAAAAGCGAAACCGGAGCCCGGGCTGGTGGCTCAGACAGCGCCAGCACTGGGAGGCTGAGGCAGGAGGATCGCAAGTTCCAGCCCGGCTTGGATAACTTCGCAAATTAGCGAGGAAAAAATAAATAAGTAAATAATAATAAATTTTTTTTTTTTTTTGTCTTTTTGAGACAGGGTCTCGCCATGCAATTCAGGCTGGCCTTGAGCTCACTTTGTAGCCCAGGCTGGTCTCGAACTTGGCAACGATGCTCCTGCCTCAGCCTCCCGAGTGCTGGAATTACAGGCGTGCGCCACCACGCCCGGCAGATAATAATAAATTCTTAAAGGGCTGGGGTGTAGTTCTCAATGCGAAGGCTCTGGGTTCCGTTGCCCAGTATGGAAAAGAAGCAAAAGAAAAGAAAGTGAAACCAGGGTTTGTCACAGTTCGGGAAGCCAGAACTGTGACATGAAGACGTCAACAGGATTGGCTGTTTCTGGGAACTCTGCGGGACAGTCCGGTGACTGTCAGGATCTTCACTACCCCTTGGCTTCCACATAAATCACCTTCCCAGGCCTTGCCTGTCTCTGCAGCTCTAGCCGCCCCCGCCCAGTCTGAGAGGCGGCTCCCTGGGCTGCTGAGTTACCCAGGCTGGCTTGCGCTCTCAATCCTGCTTCAGTCTCCCAGAGTGCTGCGATCACAGGTGTGTGCTCCCACATCCGGGTTACTTTCTTTTAGGTGTTTTGTGTTTGTTTTTTTTTTTTTTTTTTGTAAATGTGTTTGCAATACATAATAACTGCGTTCCTCTTGAGCGACTGCGGCCTGCACATCACATCTGAAGCATTTTTACTTCCTCTTCCACTTCCTCCCCTCCTGTCTCCCCGTTCCCAGATCCCCTTTGTTTTTTCTCGTAAGGACACCCCTCTCTTGTATCAGCCCCATCCGAACCCCGGGGGAATTTCAACGCAAGACCCTCATCACCCCTGCTGAGCCCCCGTTTGAATCCAAGTCCCACCCCAGACGGCACAGATTTGGACGTACTTTTGAGGGGCGACTCCTCAGTTCCCTGTGTCTCATAAGAGCTGCTGTCTTTGAACGAGACGTTCATTTAGTGCGTGTGCCTGAGGTGACCACAAAGTCAGCCATCTCTCAGGATCCACGGAGGAGCGGACCCACGCCCCCTCCCAGCGGGCGACCTGCACCGCCCAAGGCCTTCCTGTGAAGTGCAGCCATGTTGGCCCACGCCCCCCCCCTTAGACTACTGATGGGGATTGAACCCAGGGCCACCAGTTTTGACAGGGTCTCACTGAGTTGCCCGGGTGGGATTTGAATTTAACAGTCCTCCTCCCTCAGCTCCCAGTGCTGGGGTTACAACAGGCATGCGCCACCACCCCAGCTCAGATTGGGCATTAATTTCTTTCTTTCTTTTTTTGGTACTGGGAATTGAACTCAGGACCTCACACTTGCCAGGCAGTCACTGTGCCGCTGAACTATGTCCCAGCCCTCTTTCTTTCTTTTGAGACAGTGTCTCGCTGTTTAGTTCAGGCTGTCCTTGAACTCACTATGGAGCCCAGGCTGGTCTCGAATTTGGGATGATCCTCCTGCCTCAGCCTCCTGAGTGGTAGGATTACAGGTGTGTGCCACCTGCCTGGCTCCCAGGACCGAAGTTTTAAAAAAGGACATAAAATATGTGAGACCGAGTCCCAGCCTTGGGGGACCCCTGAACCCCTGTCCTAGGCTGGGGCCGCCCTGTCTCCGAAGCATAGCCTGGGATGGAGACTCGGGGAGCTGCAGGGGCGCTGAACCCTGGAACAAGGTGGGAAGGGCCGCCTGAGGGCCAAGAAGCAGGTGACCCGGGGGCAAGAAGAGGACTGTGGGGACAGCGACCTGTCCCATAGTGGCTTCCAGACAAGAGTTGGCTTGGTGCAAACACAGGAGACTGAGCTCATGTGTCGTCTCGCGTCGCCGCGACGGCCGGAGCAGACAGAGCAGCGCATGCCGGCTCACCTTTGACGACTTGTCTAGATTTTTTTCTATGAGCGAAGTCTTTTTCCTTTGGCGCAGAAGGCAAATGCCCGGTCCTGCTGAAAACCGTAGCTGGGGTGCCCCCTGGTGGCCGCCCTCTCTTCCTGCAGTTTCTGTTAGCTTTCTGAGTAGGCGGGAGAGACCACCCTCATCCCCTGGCCCTACGGCCTGGCTGAAGCAGCTCGGCCTACAAAGGCCCCTGACCCGGCCTCGGGAGGGACACGGCGGGCTGGGAGGAGAAGACTTCTTTCCAAAGCCGTTGTCAAAACACCACACTGGAAGCTGGGGAGGCTGAGGCAGGAAGATGCACGTTCAAGTCCAGCCTGGGCAACTTAGTGAGGTAGCTAGACCCCTGCTGAGCTCCATCCCCCCGAGTCCCAGAGACTGGTTTTGACTGTTAATGCGCTTGGGGTGTGCGCGCGCGCGGTCGAGCCTGCAGCACAGCTGCTCTGCAGCACCTGCTCTGTCATCTCCGCTCCTTACCCTCTGAGCAGCAGGACTGTGCCACACCTATGTGCTCTTCTCAGCCCCTGGCCCCTGACATGGAGGAGCAACGGTCAGAGGTTCTTGTGGGCCGCTCTCTGGGGCTGTTCAGCTGTTTTCCCTCCCCAGCTTCAGGGCCAGGGGCCCAGGCCTGGTGGGCGGGGGCTTCACCAGGATCCAGCTGTACCTGATGCTGTATGAATCCTCATCCTTTCCTCCCCTTTGAAGCTGTGTGCTGCGGTGTGTTTGTTGGTTGGTTGGTTTCTTTTTGAGACTGGGTCTCGCTATGCAGTTCAGGCTGGCGTTGAACTCACTTCGTAGCCCAGGCTGGTCTTGAACTCGCAGCAATCCTCCTGCCTCAGCCTCCTGGGTGCTGGGATGACAGGTGTGCACCACTATGCCCAGCTTCAAAACAATTATTTAATAAAGGAGCTGAGGGTCGGAATCTGAGAAGTACGTGTGTCCCAGGAGGTGTCTCCTGGCTCATGTGTGTGGCAGCTGTGTCCTCCTCCGCCCAGGGGACTGAGCAGCCGCCGAGGGGCTTTCTGAGCTTGGCCAGCAGGGCCGCAGGGTGCAAGACCCTGGAACAGGTGTACTTGGGGCTTAAAGCCCTGGCTGGGGCTGGCCTGGTTTCATATCTCAGAATTAGAAGAATACAAGTTGCCAGGCGTGCTGGTACACACCTGTTGTCCCAGCACTGGGAGGCTGAGCCAGGAGGATCGCTGCAAGATCAAGGTCAGCCTGGGC